TTGGGTGTGTGTGTGTGTGTGTATGTGTCATGAAATGGTACTAACCATGTGAGGTTAGTTAACGCATCACCTCACAGTTACACATTTTTGTCTTGTGATGAGAACATTGACGCTCTGTGCTCTTAACGGCTTTCAGACACGCAGGACGGCCTCGCTGCCCGCAGGCACCTCGCTGTGCGTGGCGTTCCCAGGACCTGCTCTTCCTGTAACTGGGCGTTTGTGCCTTTGCACCGGCCGCCCGCTGCCGCCTCCCTCCCCCTGCCCCTGGCAACCACAGATCTGTTCTCCATTTCTGTGATTCCCTTTCTTCTTTAGATTGCACATTCGAGTGAGATCATAGAGTCCTTGCCTTTCTCTTTCTGACTCATTTCACTTAGTGTAATGTCCTCATGGTCCACCCGTGTTGTCGCAAATGGCTAAATTTTATGTGTATATATATCACCAGGTAGAGGCTTTTGTGTGTGGCTTTTTCATGTTGAATATTTTAACATGATGCTGTATCATTAAAGTGTTTTTTGTTAGTTATTAGCAAAATCAAATTGTAAACTTGGGTCACAAGGTGATTTCTAAATTTTTTTTCTGTTTTTTTCAATAAATCCTCTGTTACTAATGCATACAAGCCAGCAACTCAGAATGTGTGACCCTCCGGGCGGAACGCAGGCTTCCCTGCAGGGCCCACGCTTGGCTCCACCGGCCCGGCCGGCTGTGTCGAAGGGCCACTTTGCACACGCCTGTGCTTTCCCTGCTCGGAGCTCCTCCAGGGCCGGGCTGTCTTTCTGCTGAATTCCAGCCGCTAAGCCTATACCGGGTGGGAGATAAGTCTGGAGACGTCTTGGTGGCTCTGTCAGTTTCAGCAGCAGAAAGTGAGAAAAAAGAGACTAGAACATGGGAAGTGACCAGTGTGGATTCTGTGTGGTGGCGGGCTGCTGCGGTCGCAGGGACCTGTTATCGGGGGTATGTCCTCGTGGGCACCCTGAGGGGTGAAAGGACAGAAACGTCTGTGGGCACAGAGACTGTTGCAGCCCTGATGCCACCTAATTGCCAAAAACACAGGAGGGGAGAAAGCACAGTCCTGGGGCTGAGAAAATGAAATTGTGTGTTCAACAGGGAGCCGGGTTACTTGACATGCCGGCAGTTTGGGAGCCCAGAGTAACTTCCACCTCGGAGGTGCGAGCTTCTTCTCAGTCCCGCGCGCGTGTCGGAGCGAGTGCCACGGAGAAGTCACCCACCGACAATCATTTGTTTTCCAGAAACCTTTGCGTGTAAACCTACTGCCGAGAGCCTGCGATGCTTAGGTGACGTCTCTGTATTTTCACACCCCAGGGGACTGCACAGACGGGAGGGGACCTGAAGTGGAGGTGGCCGGGCGTGTGCCGGTCACGGCTGCCGTCCTGGGTCTTCTAGCCGGTTTCAACCTCCTAGTGTGCAGGTCTTGTGTTCTACAGACACCGGTCAGCTCGCTGTTCACTGCGAATGGGAGTAACAGGCCTTGGTTAGGAATGTCGTCTCTGGAGTTGTGACCCAGCGTTACAACTCACTGACTGTTTTAGTGTGGTCTCTCTAAGTTGGTCTCTCTAAGCCTCAGTTTCCTTTTATGTAAAACACCCAAACATTATTGTAAGGACTCAGTGAGCGCAGAGTTTAGCACAGCGCCAGGCATACTGCTCTCGGGCTCATCAGGTCTCATTATTTGTCGCAGTTCATTTTTACGTGCCGTCGTAATAGTAGCCGCCACGCTCTGGGGTCCAGCTATTTCTTCTCTACCTCACCGGTCCTCCCACTACCTCCATACACCCGGTTCTTTTTTTAGTTTCCTGTTGGAGATCACAGATGCAGTGTCCTCTGTGCAGATCTATTGCCTGTGACCAGTAACCCCTGGGGAGCAGGAGTATCTGGAGCCAGCGCGTGTAAAGGCATGAGAAACAACCACGCGTTCTACTTGTCAGCCCGGATTTCCATGGAGAACCACTCAGTGAGCAGAGCCTGAGGAAGAATTTGAAAAACAAAAAGCAAAAAGACATTACCCCAGCAGAACTTAGTCATTTAACCCAATACAGCCAACTCTAAATGGTGACTGGCCGAGAAGGAGCAAGTGAAATCCGATGAACGTATGGGAATCCGGACTCTTGGTGTCACGCTGCCTCCCACACTGACGTCACCCTGTGCTGAGGCTCCTTGTAGCTGCCGTGGGCAGCGTGTGCCCCGTAACTCCTTGGACAGGACTGGTCTCTTGAAGCCGGAAGCGTCCCACCTTGTAACCCATGTCATTACTGGTGCTGCACTGGCTGCCACCTCCACAGCATGGGAGGGACGGCCTCTCATCAACCTGGCTTCTCACTGGGGACGTTTCAAGTAGTAACTGCATCACTTAGCAGTACATACGAGGCTCTCCACGGAAGCAGTCTGTGTCAGGCAGGAAGCACCAGCAGGCGTGGACGGCAGTGTCCTGCTCCTTGTCGGAGGACTTGGTGCGGGAGGTCTTTCTGCCTGGCCCTCCCTGCAGCTGACCCTCCTGTGTTAGGGTTTCCAGCTTGTCCTGCTGCAAGGGCTCCTGAGTGCCTGCTCGGCGTCCCGGGGTCTTCAGGGCAGAGCGTGCCCTGGGGCAGAGGGGCAGGCGTGAGGCGCACACACCCAGTCTCGGCTTCCCGGTTCCCCGGCGCTGTCTCCTACTCCGAGAAGGTGCTGGACAGCTGTGCATAGTGACTGTTCTGTTCCTCTCTCCTGGGTGCAATTGAAAGGGTTCTTGGTGGTGAGAGTGGCAGTGGCTTAGAAAGGACTGAAGTCGTTGGCCCCATGGATGGGTAAATAGTGCCTGCAGACAGCTTGTGCCCATGCGGTATTTCAGGGGAAAACTGTCGTAAGGTGGTTGCCGAGGGTTTCGGGGAAACGCGTGTTTCTACAGCCACCAGAACACCCACCCACAGGCTGTGAGGTCGGGCCTCTCAGACCTCTAGGGAGATTGGTACCAGGGGAAAGAACCAGGCCGCTGCTGGCCCCCGGGCAGGCAAAGAGAACTTCATTCTCTGCTAGGGGTCACAGCAAAACGAACTTTAGTTTTAGAGGCTTGGGAGTTCCCAGAAATGCTTGCAGGGAGCAAAAGTAGGGGCACGGGAAGAATAAATTAAGTGAGACACCCATGAACCACAGATTCTTTGCGTCATTCGAAACTAAAACCCCAAGTAACAACCAGAAAAATTTCTGCAAAGCGATTCAGAATAGGTCCACTATCCAGTGTTCCGCTGTTAGTAATTGACCCTCCGGAGCGCTGCAATAAATATACCCCTCTTTGAAGAGTTTTTTAATTACCCATCCCTTTAAATATTGGTTAGGTCGTACTGCCACCGTAATGAAGGTCTGTGCTTCTCTAAGGGCAGTTTCACCTGTTCATATTCAGACGACGGCTTTGATGATCCACACAGCAAGGTCATCCAGTGGGCAACACGCTCTCCCCACACCCTCCTCCCCCCACCTGACCCCTCCAGTCACTTCGCCACGGTGGCCAAAGTAAGTTTCCTCCGTTCAGACCCGATCACGTCGCCTCACTGTGTAAAGTCCCTGGTTAGCCCCGTGGGCTCCAGAGCAGTGGCACCCTCCCTAGCGTGGCCCAGAAGTTCACGACCCGACTCTCTCTGCCTTGCTGGCCTCGTCGCCCACCACCCTGCGTCCCAGCCTTGTGGAGCCCCTTCCAGTTCCCCAGCGTGCCTGCTCCTTCAGACGTTTTACTTCGCTTGGCCTGCTCCCCACACTGTGCTCCCCCAACCTGGAGACCCCACTCGGGCACCAACTTCTGGGGAACCTTTTCCTGCCCGCTGGCCCCTCCCAGCAGTGCCTCGTCCGGGCTCTGCGGTTGTCTTGTGCACGCGGCGCCTCCAGGCTCCCCCACCGGGAACTGCCTCGGTGTCTGTTTCCCGGGTTCCCGACACAGGGTAGATGCTCACTGAGAAGTTGCTGAACAGATTCACGCGTGAGGGTTTGAGTGCGGGGGCGCGTGCGGTGTATCACGGAGGCCACAGCGGGTGGAGCTGGCGCCTCGAGGGCCGCAGCCGGGCGCAGCTCTTTTCCTCGGTGCTGGCAGGTGCCATGAGGTCCTTAAAACCCAGTTCTTGTTTATTTGGGGGAATGGCCACTGCGTGCCACTCTGAATAAGATTTCACTTTTGTTGCCTTTTTGTTTTAGAAATACAGAACTAGAACCTAGTTTTTAGTAGAGAACAGCCTAGAGCTAGACACACATATAGGTACTTATTAGAAATATGTATGTGTAAATATATACATATATACTTATATATACATATGGGTATGTGTGAGCCCACCACATGTGCCTGTGTACATATAGACCCGTGTGCACACGTATGTGCGTGTATACACGTGTGTTCGTGTGTGTGTCGTGGGCAGGTATAGATCAGTCTTCGCGATGCCTCACGGAAGGTCCCGTCTCCATCCAGCCTGCTTGCTGCCACCTGAGTGTGACTGATTACAGCACCTCCCCACGGAACAGCTCTCCCGTCACATGAGCCTCTTCACAGAAATGTCACAGACACTCTCGGGGTTCTGATCACATTTCATCAAGAAGCCTGAGTCTGCTTGCTTCATCTTTGTGTGCATTCAACAACCGTGTCTCACACGCCTACCACTGGCTGTCTGAAAACTATTCAGTGTGTCATGAGTGGTCACTAGTCACTCAGCAGCGATTTCGTCTCGGTAACTTTTTGTTCTCATTTGTCATCTCCCCAGAGTCCTTCCCAGCCCCAGCACACACAGCTTGGCTGGCGAGTCCTTGCAGTGAACCGCGGGCGGTCTGTCGCACAGGCTGCCCCTCCCGGGTTTCTTCCCATCACAGGCCTCTCCGCTCACTCCCACGAACCATGGAGGCTCGCCCTGGAAGAGCCGCTCTCTGGGGGGCCGGGCGCAGGGGCCGTTTTCAGAGCTCGGTTGCTGCTGTCACATCTCTGTCGGAAATGGAAGCGTTTGCTAACAAACTGTTTTCGTCTTGCCTTTTAGCTTACATTTTACTACGGCACTATAGATCGCTGGTGTCCACAACAGTACTACGAAGACATAAAGAAGGACTTTCCGGAAGGAGACATTCGGCTCTGCGAGAAGAAAATATGCCACGCGTTTGTCCTCAACTTTTACCAGGAAATGGCCGACATGGCGGCCGACTGGCTGAGGGACGACCTGGCCAAAGTAGAAGCCGTGGAGTAAGGAAATGGGGACTGGCTGCTGGCCCAGGGGCAGTGGGTGTACCGACTCCTGGCAGGAAGTAGTAGACTTAGTGGGTAAATGCTTCATTTCAGCGTTTGATATTGGAAGTGAAAAAAAGTGAGAACCTCTTGGCCTAAAAACTAGCAGCTCCCAGCTTCCCACAGTACAGGCTGAAGTAAACACAGTTGAGGAAACATTCCTTGTGTTTAACCACACACTTTCCACACTCAAGAGCATAATGACCTAGACGGGTCTCTGATGTTTGCAAGGGAGCCCAGGGGCACCCTGCAGTTTGCTTTGGTAGGCAGGATTCTGCAGACAAAGGAAGTCTAAATTTGGTTGATTTTGACTTACATTTATAGAAGAGGCTCTCCTGGAGGAGATGAGGAAACATCTGCTGGGAATGGAAGAGATCAGTGAATGTTCGGTGTATGGGCCGACACGTGAGGTGTGTAAGCTCATGAGAAGCTCACACTCCCACTCCAGACCTTGGCAGTGGACCGGAGTCTCCCTTAGGGACAGAAGCCAAAGATCAGCCCAAACCGCCATTGCAGAGGTCTTGGCTGAGATGGTCAGGATCAGGCCGGGTCCCAAGGACAGTCTGCAGACAGACCTATGTCACAGACCACCAAGTCAGCCTGTGTCTGGCCACCAGTGGCACAGGCCCAAGCAGAGCCCACCTCTGAAAGGCTTCCCCAAGGAGCGGACCTCCTGGTCCACCTGCATCAAACAGAGACTCGGGTTTGCCAGTCACTCCTCTGCTCGACTAAGCAGACGAGAGTCGTCAAAGGATCCCGACTACACCTCCCACTGCAAGATGGCCAGCGGGCCCCGTTCCTCCAGAGCCAGGATGGGGAGGCCCCGACCTGCCCCAGACCAGCCTGTACCTCCCAAATGCGGTTGCCCTTCTGTGCTCTCCTTCCAGGGAACTCCACTGAGGACCAGCAGTGAGCCGAGTACTGTGCTAGCCATTGAGGGTAGAGTCTTAACTGTAATTATGATTCTTTTCTTCTTCTACTAAGTAATTTTCAAAAGTGCGTCTTTAAATTGCTGAGTTGAGAATTTCCATTATCATAAATGATTGTTCCATTTCTGCATGAGTGTATTAGTTGTAAAGAAATTGTTTTACTAATGAACCAAAACAAGCCATTCAGTTGTGTAAATTCACCTTCTGTGGGCACTGTAAGATCCAGTGGAGAAGAAGCTTGTCCTCCAGCCTAGAGCGGGCCAACAACATCGCTGCCTTCCCCAAACCGACTCAGTCCTGGGGCCGGGGGAGCCAGGAAATCGCACCGAGTGCGGTGGCAGCTGACCACATAGAGCAGAAACGTTCGGTTGTCTCCTAGAGGCGGCCTTCGGGCTTGAGGGCAGTGGGGCGGATGTTGGCCTTCCTCTCAGAGCCGAAAGCCCCCGGTGAAAGGGGCAGCCCCGACATGCTGCCAACCCCGCGGTGAGGGCTGAGCCAGTTACTAGCAGGCAGGGCTTCTGCATTGGAGCCAGGGACTTTCTGGAGGGGCAGATGGAAGCTGCAGGCAAGGAGTGTTCCCGGCTCCAGAGAGGAGCCGGTACCCACCTCGGCCACTGGCACAGGGCTGCACACGGATCCCCGTGGGCACCCGCGTGGGAAGGCCTTCAGAGGTGGGGTATCAGCAGCGGGGACTCCCGGCTGGGAAGAGCCTTGCACACAGGAGGCGCTCAGCAGTGCTGACCTGGGCACTGGAGCAAGCGCCGGGTGGACCACAGCTCCCGAAATGAAGAGCAGCGTCCCTGGCTTTCTTCTGGTGTCATTTCATGACACCACTCCATGTTCCAAAAGTCCACATGTATGAAACTGTATCTCACGTTTTTCAGAGCTTAGAAATGATCAAAAGTAAAATAATAAAGTAAAATATCACTGGCTCTCGTTTTCTGTTTATCATCTAGACACCAAATAAATTTTTGAAATAAATACTTCTCCAGCACATGGAGCCTGCCTGGTGCAGCCCTGTGTGCTGGGGGGAAGGGTGCAGGCTGAGCCGTGCTCCCGAGTGGGACTCGGCCGGGGTCCCTCTGGGAAGTGGAAAAGCCACTGTTCTCCGTGTTTCCTCTAGAGAGGGGAGAATCAGATTTCAGGAGGTTGAGCTCAGTTTGTCTCATCAGGAATTAAACAGGAGGCCTTATAAATGTCTCCATGCGCACGCATGAGGCGGTGAGGTGCGTGGACTCTGGGGCTCTGACCATCTGTGCAGGGTCTGGGCAACCCCATGTGACTTCACGCCTCACCGTCCTCTTACGTAAGACAGCGTTGATATTAGTGCACACCTCACACCGCTGTGAGAATTAAAGATGACGAAATTAAAGCACGTAGCACGATGCCTGACCAAGACTATGTCTTAATAAAGACTGGCTAAAATAATGCCGATTATTGTTACTACCCCTTATAATCCTAAAAATAAAAGGCTGAGACTGATGAGCAGTAAGTGAAATCTATTTTCCCAGAAGCATTTCTGCCTCATGTCCCGGTCAGCTGCCTGGATGGCCCTTCTCAAAGATTTAACCTCGGCTGGGGTTGGCCAGCATGAAGGACCAGCCTAAACTGGTGAGACCAGTGCCCTGGGACAGGGTCCCCCCGGGCAGCCAGCCCATGGCTCTCCTGGCTGATGTCCATCCGGGGCAGCCAGGGCCCTCTCACCTTTTGCCTTCCGCTTCACCACTCAACCCCTGGACAGCCAGCGAAGTCAAAGGCTTGATTTCTCTTCACCCTATGCTGTATTAAACTCAAACGTAGTTCCAGATTACAGGAGACAGGACGACATAGCGCCAGCCCTGGTTCTGGATTCAAGGTCCTTATTACAAAAAACACTGTTGGGACAGTCTGCACACTCGAAAGGGGTCTGAAGACGAGCTGGGGGAGGAGATGTTCATTTCCCGATGGCAGTGGTCCTGACGCGGGGGAGGAGGCGGCCGTCCAGCTTGGAACCCGAGACTCAGGCAAGTGTCCGGGGTGAGGGGCAGCCTGTCAGTTTACTCGCAAATGGTCCAGAGGGGAAAATGTCCTTTGTGTTTTACTTGCAACTGTTTTGTAAATTTGAGATGATTTTGAAATTTATAAAAATAATTATTTTTAAAATGCTCTCTCCGTTTTTGTCTGGCTCTCATTGCTTTTCCAAGAAGCGAGTTTCTTCTCAGCAGTAACTGAAGATGGGGGTTCAAATCCCAGAGTTGTCATTTAATAGGTTTGTGACGTTACATCGACTTCACCTCCCTGACCCTCTCCCACAGCCCCCGTGACCCCCACCCCGTCTTGATCTATGAAAGCACTTGCTTCAGTTATTGGATTTTGGATCTGGGGAGGGGGTTGGTGGGTCGGTTGGTTGGTTTTAAATGGGGGAAATGAGGTCATGCACGTGACATGGAGCGTCCTGCCTGGCTTGCCGTCAATGCGCTATAACATGGCACCTGACGGAAAACGAGAGCAAACTTATTTTCCTTCTCCCCGCTCTTCTCTTTGGTGCAGAGGACCTACGATGCTCGGCTTCTGCATTGTTTCATGCAGCCTGCAGCTTGGTTCTTGCAGCCTTAGCACTTCCGGCTCATGTTGGGGAGCGCGGGTGGGGGCAGGAGGGCGGCACTGGCCCACCCAGCTCCACTGTCCAGCCCTGGGCCATGCAGGACTCGCACACACAGCCCACGGCGCTCCAGTATCACCCCGAGGGGCTTACAGTCCACGCGGAAAAGGTGCCGGGAGCCGAGCGTGTCTTAAATCACACCGGACATCACCTCTGCTCCCAGCCTTCTCTTGCAGGAGAGGATGTGCTTGGCTCCTTCCCTTGGCAGGTGGGGTTTCAGGAGCCTCGGTGGCTGGAACTGTGTGTGAAACTACACATGCTCTCTGAACAAATACACCTCTGGGGCGTTGAGGCTGAAGCTGTCCTGCAGGGGCCCCAAGGACAGAAAAGCTTTCCATTTCCCAGGGACTGAGATCCCTGCCTGTGCCCCAGAGAGATGTAGGTGAGTGAGCACATCGGTCCAGGTGTCGGGGGCAGATGCAGGACATGATCTGTCCTCTTCCATCAGACTGGAGGCCTCCAGCGCAAGACTGGTGAGGTCAGAGAAGGCTCTGCGCTGCCATGGCTCTGTGAAGCCAGCCCCTGGAGAGACAAGGAGGGAGGAGGCTGATCCTAGAGCCAGAAGGACCGGGACAACTTGGCTGGGTCTGGGAAGGAAGCACGAGGCCAGAGAGGACCCGCCGCTCACCCTACACTTTCATGGCATCTCCCCTGGGCCCCACAGTCCTGCCAGGTTGTGCTTATACTCACTTCACAGATGACCACGCAGGTGCATAGGTGAGGGACTCTCAGGACCGCACAGCCACCAAGTGACTGCTGGGATTCAAATGGAGGCCTCTCCAAAGCCCACCTTCACCCCTCCTGTCCTGGGCCCCATGCTGCCTCCTGGAGGCCACAGTGGGCTTCTGTCGAAGCATTTACCATTATTGCAGGAACTACATTGTTCCCAGCCTGCGCCTCCCCACAGTCAAGACCCCTTCCCGCCCTTAGAAGGGGCCTCCCCCTGGGAGATGGACTTGCATCTCAGTCATTTCTGGATTCTCGGGGCTCGTAGGACAGGCCCACCATGTGCACTAGTCAATACCTCTTGTTATCTAGGTTAAAAAAGTTTCTACCACACCTAAGAGGCAAGCTCTCAAAACCATGATTCTCAGCCGGTCAGACTGGCAGGGAATCACGTCCCAGGGAGTCCCGGTCTCTTGGGACCGAACAGGTAACTGCAGGTGTGGGGGGGGTGGGGGGGCTGCCGTCACCTCTTCAGGGTTTTCCCAGCGGAGCTGTGCACAGCTGGGTCGGATTCCAGGGCGAGGACAGTCCGCTCTCTGGCACCAGGGGACGGCAGGAAAATGAGGCCACTGTACATCACGGCCCATTCTTCTTGTCCCCTCCGGCTGCAACTGCTTCGTTCTCCTGTGATTAGAAAACCTCTGCAGGTTGGGTGTTACCAACTAGCAACTACGTGGACGGTATTTGTTGTGTGCGAACCCCATGCAGAGCCCCCGGTGGGAATCGCAGCAGTCACGGGCGGCTGCGTCGGGACAGGGCCGCGCTTTCATTCTCTATCGCGTTCCTCAGACGTGCTGACCTTCCCACGTTGGGACCGACTCCCTTGCTGGGTGAGTCTGTGGGAAAATTCCTCTTCCTGGGATGGGAATGTGACCCTGTGACTGGGCGTCCATCACCGCCAGGGGTGTGGGCGCACCTGCAGAGCCCCCCTCCCTCTGCGAGGGGCTGGGATCCCACCTCCGCCAATCCACCCGGCTCAGGCTCCGCGCGGACATCTGGGCTTCCTCCCACTGGCCGCGCTGCAGGGCCACACACCTGCAAGTGATTAGGATGCAGCACAGCCCCAAGGGGGTGGCTGCACGTTGGTGGCACGTTGCAGTGGACGCGTTTGTCCCCAGTCACTGTTCCTCCTGAGGAGAGTCTACAGCGTTCTCGGGGCGCAGGAGCACAGTGCACCCACCCCCAGGTCAGGCAGCCCCGCCCGCAAGGTGCTCGTCTTTGCCTCCCCCGCCCACGTGGAAGGGCGCAGGCGCACAGTGGGGAGCGGAGAAGCCAGTCTTCGTGGCCTCCTGGGAGGGTCAGGCCTTGTGGGGTCTTGTAGACGTACGTGGTCCGCATTTGGGAAATGGGA